AATACGCATAACACAGCTACAATGTATTCAACTAACTGATAACATATGACCAATATTTTTTTAATAAAAAAACAATTTTAAAATGGCGTGATCATTTTACAGTACAATTGTTAACTAGCTACGTATTTTGCAGTGCTATTAGTTTTCTATATATTATATTCAATTTTAGGACAAGATATTTACAAATTTTGTTTAAAAATTATTAAACGATTATAATTAATTACAAATAAATTTTTTTAAATATATTTTTCAAACTTAATTTACCTCTGAATATGAAAAAAACAACTAGCCATAGACGACTAAGTCAAACAAATTTACCCTCGGCTCATATATTATCATGCTGTATTTTTGAATATTAATCATTATTTTTACTAGTCCCCCAACCTTGAAATAAAACTCTAGAAACGCCCCAGCTTTTTCCAACTTCAAAATCTCTACTAAAGAAACTCACTATAAAAATAAAACAGTTTCCTTTTTTTGGTTATTATCATTTTGGTGAACTTAAGATACATCCAATTATAACATTTCATATTGTCCTTATTTTTTGTATCCTTGAGTTTACAGTGAAAAACCAATATAAATAAATACATTTTTTTATTTATATGAATTTAAATTTAAATAAAGTTTAGATAAGAAGCTCATACAACTCGGTGTATCATAACTTTAAATTCTTATTTAAAAAAAAAATTAATTTGAGTAAAAAGTATAACAGTAAAGTTGAATTTTATATAATTTTGAAAAAAGATTGTCCCTCAATAACTAATGTATTTATTCAATACATTTCAGAGTCAACACCTGAGACTAAAAATTTACCTATGAAAACGTAGGTGACACGTTCACTGCTGGTCAGTGGCGTAAATAGGAAGTTTCATTAGCTGGGGGAGGAGGTGGATATAAATATATAATATATTCATCATGGCCAAGATAAATCGCAGGGTAGTGCCCCTTGCAATGCACTAATAGTAAATATAAGAAAAAAGGTCATGGAGGAATCCATCCCCAATATCCCATCCTGTTTACTACCATGCGGCGGATGACGCCAGATGATGTCATTTAACATCGTTTGCATATTATACTGAATTACGCCAATTGGCATCATGTACCTTGTTAACAAATGCAATAAAATTTTAACATAATAAGGATTAAATTATTCAGTTTTTGTTAACTTTTCATACAAGGTTTTAAGAATTATTTCATAAGTACATTGGTGTTTTAATTTTTCAACTATAGGCATATAGGTACTCAAATAAGATACCCTGCGAATGCGAATGATAAAAAAATGGCAGTAATCATATTATTACAACAAAGTTATTAAATCCACGAATTTTCAGAACCTCCATAGTTACGTTGATTGAATTAAGATTAATAATTATAATTTAAATTTATTATCTATTAATTATTTTATTACATTAGTATCAAGTTAGATTAATTGTAATTTTATAGCTACTGTTAATAATAATATAAAACAAACTACAAAAACACTATGGTTCGCTGTAAAATTATATTTTTTAATATAAATATAGATTAAATAATCAGTATTACACAGTGTGTTTAATCTACGGCAGGTAGTAAAATGTAATAACTATAATTATTATACTATAATATGTTTAGTAGACCTAACTATTTTATAGCCATCCCTACGACCTTTAGTAATTTTAAATTATGGCTAATATTACTATTATTAGAATGATATTACCTAACTGGGTTGTTATTTTTATGTTTTTAGAAGTTTTATTTTCAAGGTTTCCATACATTGTACACTTACTATACAAATATATTATACCATATTATACATTATATATTTTGTTATGTAACATGTATCGTGCATGCCATTTACATTCCTACTCTAAAAATATGGAATCTAAATAATTATGAATGGAGACAATGAATTAAGGTACAATAAATGTGCAAAAATTAAAAAGTTTTTAATTCAAAGTTAATTGTGTAGAACTAATTATTTTAAATATATTAACCTAACAATAGTTAATAATCTGAAGATTTTACACTCTTTCATTGTGACCCGAGCTAGTTTTTATTATCCAAACGAAATATTTTTATACTATTTACACAGTTACTACAATTATAAATAGGTATTTTAATTAAATATTTAAATTCCATCTAATATTTTAGCTGTTCTTCACGTCTTATTTCACGTCTTACAAAGACAATTATCATTTAAATCTGAAATAATCATAAGTAAAGTATTAAATAATAAATAACAAAAAGTATTTAACGATAAATATTTCATTTTTATTTATTTTATCATCCAAACAACATTTATTTTGACTTATAATCAAAAATAACATTCAACTTACTATCGAGGAAATAAAAAAATAATATAATTTTCAATTTGCGTAGAATTCTTAGCGCAATTTAAAAATTAACAGTCAATTCATACTTTTTTCTAATAATTTTAAGTTGATAATTTTAATTTAAGGCCCTGTGACACTTGGTAACACAATTTTAAATTTTACTTTATGTGTACCTACACTTGTATGTGCTCTAAAAATATTAAGTAGCATTACAAGTCAAAGTCATGTTGATAAGTACTTTAATGAGGTATTTTTTCGATTTTGTTGAATAACTTTTTTCCATGTTAAAAAATCTTATACATAAATCCTAATATTTTCTTTGTAATTTGGAATTAAAGAAAATAATTTAAGATATAAAAATATTTAGTAATTATTGTTTTTGAGAAAGAAATCTATAATTCAGATATTGTGTTACTTTATAGTAGGTTCAAGAAATATTTATATAAATATTATAATATTAAATTGTTTACTTATAATACATGTTAATTATTAAGACTTAATAGAACATAATATCATATACTTGATTAAACATTTGAATAACTATATCGCACTACCATAATTTATGATTTTCAGTCAAAGTAAAAAATAAGGCCGCTATAATTTCTCAAATGACATAATTTTTCCCTGTTTCTTAATCATAATATCATTCAAACCTGGTTCACCGCCAACATTCTCAAATAGGTACCCCGCAAACCATCCAAGCGCTTCGTTCCAATAAAACCTTTTACCTATCAATCTCTGCTCCATGACACAGATAATATTATTGCCTTTGCAGACTTAGCACTGTATATATAACATACAGCATACTTGCCAATGAACCAGAAATACGCATAAAGCTAAAATACCTACACTTAGGTCCAGAAAGTAAATTGAATGGCTCTTGACTGATTTAAATGGCAAGTACTGAACATCACTATAAAATAGAAAAAATATATTAGCCCTTCGCTCGCAATATGTTTTAAAATGATTGGTCCAGACTAGCTTTAGGTCCAGTCTTGTATATATCCTAAGCACAGTTAAACAATTTTAAATTGTATATCAATAAAATCGTTTTACTTTGGTTATAGTTATTAGTTTTAATACTTTGAAGTATTTTACTACATATGATTTATACTTCATTTTCATAACGTAAATATATGCATAAATATTTAAAATTATTGTGTTTAAAATTTAAATATTTCTTTCGATATACTTTTAAATTCAGAATAAATCACCATACATTTATTATTTATTATTATTGTTAATAAAACCGTTGATTATTGATTACTTTCCGTGAACTTTTTCATCATTATTTTTTTCATTACCTACTTTGAAGTTTGATTTTCTTTTCATCCTTATTAATAATATTAATCAACGCTTTTTTGTTTTGTTTAAGGTCATTAATAAATAATGTTGTTAGTTTTAAAACATAAACTCAGGATCTAAAAATGACTTGGTTATAACTCTCAGCTTTTAAATCATTAAATCAATTCGTTATAGTTTTGGGACGTGCATAATAATATATATCTACGAAGTTTCTTCTTTTTTATAATAAATGAAAATAAAATATTTTTAAATTGTCAAACAATACACTTATAAATATAATTCAGGTTATGTACATGTAATTACAAAACAAATGTGCTCATTTTAATTCAAGTTTAATTAAATATAATTTAAGCTATTTGTATACAAATTACCCCCACAAAATTAATTGGATGGTTGTACTTTTAATTTTATTACTTAAGTACCGACATTATACAAAAAATCAGATGTATTTTGTTATTATTTTTAAGCTTAAGTACCTCTAAAAGTATTAAATAAGAAAAAAATAGGAAAAGTAAAAGGATTTTTAAGTAATTTCACGTATTTTAAAAATAATATTTTTTGCCAAAAATGAAGGTGTATCCTCAAAAATAGGGAATACGTTCAGCCATAATACGTAGGTACACGTTAACGTTGAGCTGATTGCTCGACATCAATCACATTTGCTGGGTGCAGATATCAATGACAATAAACGATAGGGTACTTCAAAAGATAAAAAAAAAAATAATAATGGCAACAATCTAATAGGTAATAATAAAAAAAAAATGTATATATATATGTGTGTCTATGTACTATTCAGTGCGAAATTGATTCTAGGGTATTATTAGGTACCCACGGCGAGTTTGTATAATATCACACTGTGTGTTTATAAGTATTTTGAGACGGTCCATTCGATATAAATCCAATTAACTATAGCTTGTTAATTAACTTAAATTAACCCCGGTGATTAACAGTGTTGTCACGATACACCCACGGGCTTTTCTCGTCGGGCCTAATGTAGATAGTTCGTCGTTCGCACGCTCACCGTATCATCCACGGCTTGCAGAAAGGGTGCCGGCCGAGGAAACAGAACACAGGGCGAGAGAGAGAAAGTGAGAGATATGGACGAGTGTGTGCGTGTGCGTGTGTACGTGTGCGTGTGAGGGTGAGCGGGCGAGCGAGAGAGAAAGCGAGCGAACGAGAACGGAGAAAAGGAAAAAAAAAAATATATATACATATCTCCCACACGGATGACCCATTTCCTCACCCCGTGCGCTGCGCGCGCACACTGAAGCCGGGCAATTTTAAGGGATGTCGCATGCGAGTAGGGTGTGTGGGTGTGTGGGCCAGCGGCCTGCCGGCAACATGGGGCAACACACACGCAGAGTCGTCGTTCCTTCAGTCCGACACATTCCAAACGAGCCGGCAGACGCGTCATGCCAACGACCGCGAGCGCTCCGGAGGACATCTGTTGAAACCATCGTATACCCGCGATTTTACGAGTACAATTTTTTTTCTCTCTCCGCAGATTCTCTGTCCCCTCTATATCTCTTTATCTCTCTCTTTCTCGCTTCACCGTCGTTGGATTTTTTTTTACTATTGCCATTATCGTTATTAGTATCATTTCTTTTTCTCACGCTTTGGGCGCAAGTCACCCGCTCACCATCACGAGAAGAAATCCCATCGCAGCGTAGGTTCCTAATCTGCCGTTATTTACACGCTATAGCGAATAGGTATTCAAAAAGAGCACTTTCACTCGCCCCAGCACTCACGTATCCCTCTGCCGCCGCCGCTGCCACCCCGAAACTATAGTAACATCAACGCCACTGCGACTATTGCAGCATTGACACACCGCTGCGCGCGGCCACTCGGCGACAGCGGCGGCAGTGGCGGTGGCAGCCGGCAGTCAGTCAGCCAGACAGTCAGTCGTTCACACCGCGGGCCACGTAACCGTCGTGCTCCGCGACCAGTCTCCCACAACGGCGTATAAAATCTCACGTAAACGCCGTCCGGTCACAGCCGCCGCCGTCGCCGCCGCGATCTTCGGATCGCCGTCCCGCGGTCATAACAGCGGTCGCGACATGCTGCTAAACCGAAGATTGCGGCTGGGCGGCGGCCTGTTGGCGCTGGGCGTCGTGGCGCTATTCGCGGCACACCCGTCGCCGGTCAGGGGCGGTAGCTCGCACAACCTGGAGAGCCACCAGTACAAGGACTCCAGGAAGTGTCTGTTGCAGCTGACGGCCAGGACGTTGGGTTGTGGCGGTGGCGGCGGCGGCGGCGGCGTCAAGCGGACGATCGTGACGACCGTCAAACGTCGGCCGGACAAGCGCCAACGTGGTGGCAGCGATGACGACGACAACGATTTGGATCAGAACAATAATAGTTTCGATTACAATTACGACGACGACGGAGGTGGCGGCGGCGACGGTGGCGACGGTGCCGACTCCCGACAGACGTTTTACGAACCGCCTCTGATCACCGACCCGAGGGACAGGATGTTGCCCGTCATCTACAGCCCGAGGCCCATGTACGCGCCGCCACGCCATCAGCAGCAACAGCCGCAGCAACCGCAGCAGCCGTACAACAGGTACGACGACCAAGGCGTCGCCCCGATCAGCCCGTTCGAGGTGCCCATCATCATCGGTGAGTGTGTACGGCACGGACACGTGCGCTTCCGGTTCGAGCGCAGGACGAGCGCTCGCTTGGAAGCGTTTTTTTGCAGCGTTCGTTTTTATCCGCATATTACCCGCGCCAACCTTTACCACCGTCCAAGCGTTTACCAACCCACCTTTCGTTTCAGTTTTTGGCGCCAAACGTACGTGGCTTTTGCAAACGGCCAAAGTGTGGTTTGCAGTACATCTGTTCCAGGCGAATCAATCTTGGGAAAGTAAATTTGGGGGGGGGGTGTTAACTACCTATAATAACTCTATGGGCCTGGTGATGATTTAATTGGTAACATTTTGGCGCCAGCAATACTGAAACGACTCACATGAATTTTACACAACTATAATACCTAAATGCATACATTATATATAACATAATAATAAGCTATTAACTGGGTAGGTAAAGTATTAGCCAATACACGAAATCGACATGAACAGTTTATTTATATATGAGAATAATGTGATATTTTAGGATGGCCAGGACAGCGTCGTGTTGTTAAATTTAATGTTCCCTCGAAGCCAATACATCGAAATTAAAAATTAAAATACATGAATGTGCAAATTAAGTGACAGAATTAAATTTGAATTTTAAATTGGTAAAATGTAATGGTATTTACTTTCTCGAGAAATGTGACGATAGAAAAAAGATGGGTACTTTTTTTCTCGTACCTGTTGCTCGAGTAATATCAAAAACCAACAACGTCAAAACAACGACAATATTATTATAACCGTTATAACCACACTAATTTAAATTGAATATATTTTATAATAATCCTCAAGAATTTGCGTCTTTTCATTTATCGACGCAACAATTTATACTGTCTACTGTCTTATGCCTGTCAGAATAAAAAAATGTTCATTTATCACCAATAACGACGTAAAATAATTTACCAAGAAAATCCTTTTGTAATATTATACTAAAACGTTTTTCTGTCGTATTTGATATGATTTAATTATTTTTATATTTCATATTTGAAATGTTGTCCCAATATAAATATATAATATTAGACATTCATATACTATTGTTATAATAACAAAAGTAATTTACACAAATAAATTAAGTACAATATTCAGTTTTCATACAATGCTTGTAAAAAATAAACGAATTCACACAACCCTTATGCGAGTGAAACAAAATATATCCAAGATAATAATTTATATAGATTGTCACATATCCAAAAATGTTGAAATTGAATTGTATAAATATTTTAAACCCAACATGGTTGAATCGTATTGAAATATTTATTTAAAACGTCATGCACATTGAACCGTTTGACATTTGTTTATTCTAATAATATTGAATGTTGAACTGTATTACCTACCTAGTGGAAAAAATAAAATCACAAGCTGATTTTCAGATTTTTCCTCAACAATAGCGTACGTAAAGATCAACTTAACTGTCTTAGCTGTATTCAAATAAATTATCTTGTAACCTACTAAATAAAAAAAATATCTGCAAAAATTGGAAAATTCAAAATTCAATATAATTTAATTTTGATGTTTCTCGTGTGGGAAATTACAAACAAAATAGATTTTGTTGAAAATTGAAATCAAGTATTCCGCAAATTCAATTCAAATAATAATGTTAAATTTTAAAATTATCTTTCTAAGGTGTAATACATTAGTGAATACCGCCACCAAAAAAAGTTTTTAGATAAATATCCCAGGGTTCTTCTAACGAAGAGTACAAAAATCTAAATTTGTATTTTTTATATTTGATTTTAAGTGCATTGAGGAATAAAATTGTTTAACAATAATATTTTTTTTCTATAGATACTTTTTAAGGTAGTAAAAAAGGGGAGAATCAGTAGATAAGCTAAGGGGCTAGAGAGAAAACTTTGCATTCTCTGGACAATATTTAGCCCTCACCCCGCTCCCCCTCGAAAAAAAAGTAGACCGTGAAAAATTTTTCTTGTTATTTTCAAGTTACATGCAATTCAATTTATATTAAAAGTCAATGACAAAAAAAAAACAGTTAGATTATATACAGTGTCGGAAGTAATGAATTTTTGGATAGACAATTTCTACGATTGGCTTACTTGGCTCACCACGTTAGTGTCACGAACATAAAAACCAAACAGTAATTAATCACTCCTCCCAAAATCAAAAATATCTAATGTTATGTGGTATTGAACTCCCAATGGGTTATTTTAAGTTGACAGCCTTAGTAAGGGCTGCATCCCCTCCCCCTAATAATTTTAACCCTGGTTGCACTTATGTGTAGAACCCGATTGCATACTAGATCGAGTTTTGGGAGTACTATTACGTATATCTGTCGTATAACAAATGAATCTCTTAAATATGAAATTATTGTTTACTAAGTTGGCACTAAGTAGGCTCCTACGTTATCAGCGTTATAATTAATAATTACAAAAATAATTACTAATTATACAATTACATGATCGAGTTAAATGTTTTTAGTCGTCTTAAAACAAAAATCCAACAGTGTTGTAGAGGAAAAAATAAATTAATTTTACTCATTAATCAATCTCATAATACTTTAATTAACATCATTATTAAAATAATTAAAATGTGGAAAACGGTTAAGTATTGAATATAATAATATGCAGTGGCTTAGTCAGGGTGGGTGTAGAATTTTCCTCCTTATAAATGTATTATTTACAATTTACATACAAAAACTGTAAATCTTGGTTTAATTTATACTTAACCCTCCCTCCCATTTCATAATCATGACTACGCTGATAATATGGTTAGCTAAACTCGTTAAAAAAATACATTGTTCGGTTTAAATTTTAAAATAAATATTTTTCTTGGAATATATCTAGCCAATTAAAGACAAAAACATACAAATATTTATATGAATTTTACATTAAGTATATTATATTGATTGAAAATGTATAATTCCGTTTATCTTGACATTAAACACATTTTTTATCATTGTTTAAACTTTGATCTCCATAAATATTAATATCATTACATGCGTGTTGTGATAAGTGACCTGTATGCAATTAACTGATGTACATTTTGTATAAGAATCCCGGACCGTCCGTTGTCTAATATATTTCATTTATCTTTTTAGTTAAATAAAACTGTTAAATTCGTACGATTTGACAACAACCCTTTATAATAAAATTAATTTAACGAACGGAATCGTGATATATAAAAGGTACCACAGATAAGCACTGTACGCTACCGAATTCCACCCCAAAGGTCAAAAATATTTATGTATACCTATTATATTTTGGACATTTTATCTTAATGGTACTCAAAACAGATCTTTTTTAGATTATCTAAATAGTTTTTCTAAGCGTGAGGAAAAACTATTATGTTGGAAGGCAAAATACGAAAAAACGTTAAATATTCCTAACTCCTAAGTAACTACTGTGGTTCTAATCAGAATCGTTTTTCAAAAACAGTTATTTATCATTAAACGGCATTAAAACCCATTGGCCATTATTCTGCAGGGTCAACGTAAACTGTGAGAAAAAAAGACAAATTTCTAACAATAGTATTTATAACCTATATCCTGTCTAGCTTATTTTTTTAAGCTCAATTTACTAGTTAAATTAATTGATTTATTTAATTATTTTTTTTATTTTATCAATTTGGTTAGAATTTGTTTTATATTATAAACAAATGTCATTCACTGAATTTTAATTAATGTCCTATATTAATTCAGCATGTAGAATCAATAATGATAGAAATTGTACACTTTCGTATTAGCTGAATCGAACGTCAATATTGTTATCTATTCAACTCCCGTATACTATTTGAACTGCTTTTATCGAAATTCAACATAATATTAAAATTCAATATATCACTTAACCTTATAAAAATATTTATACCTAATATAATAAACAAATATTATTTGTTTCATAAAAATATAAAATACATTTGAGTTGAACCTATACCTATCTGGTCTCGACTTAGTTTTGAATTCAAGTTTTCCTCTATGATGCAATTTGCTTTATTTTGTTTTCTAAATACATATAAGCGAAATAATAAATTAATATAACTCAATGACTTTTTGAAAGTTTATAATTCTTGCAAGTTATTGTTTTGTAATGTTCCACTGACATGACGATTTTCTCATATAGAAAACTAATAATTTAACTCTAAAATAATAACTGAACATATTTCATTCATCGAAAACTAAAGTTTTTATTCTGACACAAAAACTTTTTACTTTCTAAAACGTTTTATATTTTTAAAATGTATAGAATTACATGTATGGATAATTTTTTAGGGAACGTTTAGACGAGAAGCAATAGTACCTTTGCGTAGTAAATTCAAGAAAAACCTTATTTTTCTAAAACAATTCAAAAATGTCACTATTTCTTTTTTACTGCAATGACATCTAAAATATATAGTTTATTTTCTCAACACAACAATTAAACAGTCCGGCAACTATGGCCATTAGCTGTTTGTATGGGGAAACGGTGGGTTTCAGAACATGTATTATGGATGTGGCAATGATTTTGTTGCTAAAAATCCTGGGTGGTCACCCATCCGAGGACTAGCAACGTCTGTCTGTACACTCAGAATGTTTCCGCAGATTAAGCGTACGACCGCGCCTCACCAAGCAACAATACTATATTACTTACCTTTATAATCTATATAATCTTATAACCTGAATAATTTAAGCTTATTTTACTGCCGCAATAAAAATAATTTGAATAAAATAATATTAACAAACCAATATATTTTTTACGATTTTTCCATTCCTACTTTATATAACAGTAATGCTTATTTATAGTATTAGATTTACTGTTTATTAGTTATTACGCTGTTTATGATAAAAATAAAAATTTGTATTCAAATTACTTTTCATGATTAAAATGCCATTCGCCCATACAAATTTCATAAGATGTTGACTTATCTAAATGCTAAACTAATTTATTGATTATTTATTTCTATTGTACTAAAACACATACTTTAATGTATCAACTTATTATCAAAACTAAATACAACATAAGGGACAAACATATATTTTAAATTATTCAAAAGTTCACTTTAAAT